ACGTGGTGAAGGCACACATTATGGAGATCAAAGGGAAGCTCGAGAACTTATCACTTTTATACCGTCCACCGGGGTCCATTCCGCCACTCCGGTCAGCAAAGGAAATTCCTCGCCCTTGGCCACTTCGGATAATACAATTTCCGACGAGCCAAGTCAAGAAGTCACTGCCCCCTTAACCTCGGATCCTCTGGCCGAAGACCGAGGCAGAAGACCCGGGAAAGAACCAATCCTTGAAGAAGACGAATTGGACCCAAGGACTCAGTTTAAAGAAAAAAGGCGAAGTGATCAAGCTGAACCCGGAGAAGACGTGGAGATAGTTTATGTTGACGAACTGACACGTCAGAAGTCACTGCGTATTGGGAGCCATTTACAAGAACCTCTCCGGTCCAAACTCATCTCGTTCCTTAGAAATAATTCTGATGTTTTTGCTTGGAAACACGAAGACATGAAGGGCATCGACCCCGGTGTCGCTAGCCATAAGTTAAATCTCGATCGAACTGTCCGGCCAGTTGTTCAAAAACGAAGAAAATTGGGACCGGATAGTCAGAAAGCATTGGAGGAGGAAGTCAAGAAACTCATCAACAACAAGTTCATTAAAGAAGCCAAGTATCCAACATGGGTCTCAAACCCCGTCCTCGTCAAGAAAAGCACTGGCCTTTGGAGGTTATGTATCGACTTTTCCGACCTGAACAAAGCATGTCCGAAAGACAGTTACCCACTTCCTCACATAGATTATATGGTTGATGACACATCGGGACACGAGTTGATGAGCTTTATGGATGCCTACTCCAGTTATAACCAAATTCCTATGGATCCCGAAGATTCAGAACACACCTCGTTTTATTCGGCACGGGGCTTCACTACGCCAAAAAAGGCTTCAGATAGCACTTTTTTTGGCTTCAGATAACGCTTAAAAGCGTTATCTGAATCAGTGTTATCTGAAGACGACCTCTTCAGATAACGCTTGTAAAGTGTTATGTGAAGAATCATTCACATAACGCTTTTTTATATCAAACGGTATGTGAAAAACCTTTCCCATAACACTTTTTCAATATTAAGCATTATGTAAAGAACTTTTCACATAATACTTTTTTATATTAAGCGTTATGTGTAATATTTATCAGATAACATTTTTCAACAGAAGTGTTATCTAAGATGATGATAATATATAATACTTTTCTAAACAAACGTTATCCATGTGTATCTTTTTTTTACGTATTTTGTGCCTGTATTCATTATCCTTATACTAGTAAACAAGAAACAAATGATTTAAATCATAAAAGCATTTACCAAGAAGCAAAAACCAACAAGAAAACGACCCAATCATGAACATAACAAAAACTTACAAACACAATCCACAAATTTTAACATTGTGCTCGAGTA